ATATATATATCATATATATATATTATATATATATATATATATATATATATATATATATATATATATATATATATATATATATATATATATATATATATATATATATATATATATATATATATATATATATATATATATATATATATATCAGTGTACAAGTGTGTGTGTGTGTGTGTACCAATCTATTCAGTCCACAAAGTCGATGGGATGTCATGAGAACTGAGAAGGGTGAATTGCAGAAAGTACAAAAACGGAATAGGGTGTAATAAGTTAGAAGAGGTCGATTGACGTTACATTTAAATATATGAATATTCTACTAATCTGGGAAATAAACGGAATGAAATTGTACAAAAATGCCAATTGGACGCAGGCAGTTACAGGGATTGAAAGTGAAAATGAATGAGAAAACTGAGAATAGGGAGGACTGCAAAACGGACAAAGAAGGAACAGGGTTCAATAAGGACAAAAATGGCGATTGACGTTGTATTTAATTTTTTGAAGATCGTAGTTACCAGAGATGCAAGAAATCGGAAGGAATTTCTACAGGGTGGGGGGAGTGCGTTAAACCATCTGTTGGAATAGAACTGTCCGTTTTCTCTAGCTATTTCAACAGTAAAGCTCTGAAACCGAGTTGCCAATCTATTAATTTTATGTAGTCAGAGCACCATGGAGAAAAAAATCATCAGAGCAGTTGCCATGAAAATCTTTGTAGAAAAGACAGAGAGAAGCCACTTCACGGTGAGAAAGTGGCTGAAGTTAAGATTCCTAGTCAGGATCGATTACATTACAGACCCTTTTGGGGTTTTTGCCAAGAATCTCGAGCTGTGCAGCAGGAGCACTAAACAACATATGGCAACTTTATTAAATTTTACGTTGAGAAGTTATGAAAATATGATAGCACAACAAGAAGATATAAGAGTCTGTCTATATTTCTGAGATGAGGTATTATGTACACTATTTACATTATTCAGACTATTGTCCTCATCTTTGTCGCCATATTTATTACAACGTTTCGGCCTTTCAGTATCTGTCTATATTTCTGAGATGAGGTATTATGTACATTATTTACATTATTCAGACTATTGTCCTCATCTTTGTCGCCATATTTATTACAACGTTTCGGCCTTTCAGTATCTGTCTATATTTCTGAGATGAGGTATTATGTACACTATTTACATTATTCAGACTATTGTCCCTCATCTTTGTCGCCATATTTATTATCAACGTTTTACATTTTCAGTATCTGTCTATATTTCTTTGATCTGATGAGATGAGGTATTATGTACACTATTTACATTATTCAGACTATTGTCCTCATCTTTGTCGCCATATTTATTACAACGTTTCGGACTTTCAGTATCTGTCTATATTTCTGAGATGAGGTATTATGTACACTATTTACATTATTCGGACTATTTGTCCTTTCAGTATCTTTTTCTGAGATGCACTATTTACATTATTCATTGTCCTCATCTTTGTCGCCATATTTACAACATTTCGGCCTTTCCGTATCGCTCTATATTTCTGAGATGAGGTATTATGTACACTATTTACATTATTCGGACTCATCTTTGTCGCCATATTTATCACAACGTTTCGGCCGTTGTACGCTCCGGCCTTCTTCAGGTGGTTGAATATCGAACTGAAGCCTTTGTTTCGCTCACTGGGGTAGACTGTTCTAGTTCCACGTGCCATGTTTGATGGATGTCAGTTATCAGTTATCTCTTGTTAATTTCCCTCAAGGACACATGACACAGTGGATAAAGGCGTTGGTTAGATCCAGTGAAAGGACCCAAAGAGGAGTTCAATACCCGGTTAAGGCAGTGGATAACTTTCAGAGGGAAAGATGAGGACAATAGTCCGAATAATGTAAATAAGAAGATATAATTTAATTAATTTCTGCACTAGCCCTGCGAGAAGACAAGTGGATGCAGAATAGAGAGAAAAAGGTCGGTTAAGCTTAAAACTACATTTTTCCTTAATATCACTGATGCAACTTTATCAGTCAGGACATGAAAGTCACCATTTTCAGTATCATCTCTCTCTTTCTCTCTTTCTGCAATCAGCATGTGAGGTCACACACCACAGCTTGGCCAGTGGATGCTCACAAATAGCACACAATCAGCTTCTGGTTACTGAACGATGTCTCGCAAATTGCTACAGAAATTGCAATTGTTAGCGTAATTTGAATAGCAGTCCGGAGATTTGGGAACATTCTTGTCTCCATATTGAACAATAAAGTGTAAAAGTTTTTTTTTCTGGTCAAGAGTGATTCGGTAGGAAATCGGCATTTTAAAATCTAAAATGTTGATACATGATTTAGAGCGGTCACTTTGAAACTTATTTTTTTACACCAGGGCGCGAACTTGTAGAATAACTAACAATTCTGGGGCGCTCTTTAAATTTTAATAAGGAAAAATTGTCATGAAATTTGAAAATTTGAATTTGACTCTTTCAAATATTAGATCTTTTATGTGATGAAGATTAGGACTTACATATGATTAATGTTGGGCCCTATAACGTGAATATTAGCGGTGTAGTTTTCATTTATAGGGATTTATGAAGAATATGCTGATTAAAATCCCCTGAGCAATTCAAAAAGGAAAAATTAATTCAATCCTTCTTAAAGATTAAGGAATTTAGCATCCAGTTTAAAATATCAAATGACAACGAATTTGACGTGGATGTTATGTGCTTGCTGTCTCAAGCCTTTTTAAAAGAAAGATGTTTTTAAATATAAAAATAAAACATATATTACTTTCTAGTTTTTAAACGGAATTTATCAGAGTATCAATCAATATCTCAAATTATTCATACCGCATTTTAGGAGTTTTCGTTTTGCAAATAATCATTGGTGTGCAGTTGGTTACCTTTAGCGTGCACTAGTAAGTCCAGGTGCATTGGTTGAGAAACGGTTGATTTAGAGACTAAGGCTTAAATAATTGATATTGTGGATGAGCAGGGGTGTAATGTTTAGCGGCTCAGAATGAGAAATCGGTAGCGCCGAGATCAAAAGCAGTCAAGCTCGTTAGGAAAGGTATGGATCTTTCACTTTTATCTCTTTACCCGGTAAACAGCAAGAATTCCTTGACTGGTTGGAAACCAGTGTCGGAGAAGGAAAAACCCCGGGAGAGGGTTGGATTCCGTCAGTACATTAGGTGCCCCTACATCCTTCAGGGGTTACGGGACTCATGATCATGATCATAGATAAATAATAAACTACAAATTATTTTTTTCAAAATTTCTGGGATGAGGAGTTATCATTATGTGTACTATTTATATTTAGATTATAGTCCTCATCTTTGTTGTTGTTATCACAAGGTTTTGGCCATTGTGCTCCCCGGACTTCCTCAGATGCAAATCGTTTACAGTAACCTATGGGGAATTCTGAACAGAAACATTTATTTAATCAGTTCTCGTTCCACTGCTAATAATATAGGGATATTGTCTAGTTCTTATTTTATTTAGCACGCCCGTTTCCACTGAGTACTACCCGATCCAGGGATTGAACTCACAACAAATATATCACCAAATTCATAAACCAACGCCTTTAGCCACTAGACCATTGTCCTACGTAACATAATGGTTGTCAGTTCAGTCCCTGGGCTGGGCAGTTTTTAATTTCATTCAGTGGAAACAAGCAAACAATAACTGTGCAGTACTACAAATAAGAACTGGATATATATCCTTAGACATGGGCAGTGGAACGAGAACAGTCTACCCCCATAGATTAAATAAAGAGTTCAGTTTAGAATTCCATGTATGTTACCCAGATCGATATACACCTAAGGAAGACCGGAGAATATAAAAATATACACCTGAAGATGTCCTTAAACTATTTATATTTGAATTATTATCTGCATGCCTAGACATGAGCAGTGGAATGAGAACAGTCTACCCCCATAGATTAAATAAAGGGTTCAGTTTAGAATTCTCTGTAGGTTACCCAGATCGATATACACCTAAGGAAGGCCGGGGGATATCACAATATACACCTGAAGATGTTCTTAAACTATTAATATTTAGACTATTGTCCTCACGCCTAGAGATGATATACACATGAGGAAGGCCGGAGAGCACAACGGTCGGATTGTGATAACAACAACAAATATCCGAATATACATAGTGTAAATAATGATAAATTCTTTCTTCCAGAAATTCAGATATAAATTAAATAAATCAAATAATCACTGAAAGACATTACAGTCTCGCCATTGCCTAAATAGCATAAATTACTAATGATATGCCTCTCAAGGCTCGCCAGCTAGGGTGCGTGTTATATACGAACAAAATCTATAAAAACGAGACTGAATTTTCTAATGTTAGCGCCAAACAAAGGCCTGCTAGTAAAATCTGAATAACTTTGTTGACTACGTTCAATTTTTCAATAAATAGCCACCCATGGCACCAGTCGCAAACACAATTATATGGAATAGTAATTTTCAGTAAATGTTCTTTCGTCGCGACCAAAATTCCACAGATAATACAATAATACCATAGAGACTAGCTCTGTGAAGAATGATGTTATGCTGTATTATTTCTGAGACATTACGGTCCGCATCGAGACGCTGCAACCAGATAATCTTGTTTTACTTATTCTTTTTTCTTCTTTGAAAGATGTTTTGGTCAGTTTTATGAAATCCACCCACAGGCATTCATATCGAATGTTTTAATATAATATACAAAGCGTGACGAATCGCGTGCATCTCGGACAATCTCACGAGATTATGGTTTTGTTCGGGGCCTCGAGTTAACAATCAATTTTTAGTCCATATTTTCCTTTCGTAAATATTTGTTTCTGTATTATTTTTTTTTTGTGGGTGTTTTTCTTTTGTTTAGAATAAGGTCTTTGTTAAAGTAGTTTATTTTGTGGTACTTGATGAAGTAAAAGAAAGCATAAAGAAAACGAGAAAGCGGTTTCATGTAAGACCTGGCTTTTCGAATACTGAGTAACAATCAACATTAATTCGTATTTAAGTGTTTTAAGAAGAAGAATAAAGTTTTGTTTTTCTTTGTTTTTCTTTGTTTTTCTTCCTTTTTTATACCATCTATCTATCTATCTATCTATCTATCTATCTATCTATCTATCTATCTATGAATGTTCGTATCTATCTATCTATCTATCTATCTATCTATCTATCTATCTTCATCTATGTATGTATGTATGTAACTCTTTATTTGAGGCGATATCTATCTATCTATCTATCTATCTATCTATCTATCTATCTAAGGATGTTCATATCTATCTATCTATCTATCTATCTATCTATCTATCTATCTAAGGAGATCTTTTTTAGATCTATGTCTGTCTGTCTATCCATCATCTATCTATCTATCTATCTATCTATCTATCTATCTATCTATCCTCATTTATATATGTATGTATCTATTTAAAGCGATCTATTTCTATCTATCTATCTATCTATCTATCTATCTATCTATCTAGAAAAGGAAATCTTGTTAGATTTATCTATCAAAGATCTTTTAGATCTATCTATCTATCTATCTATCTATCTATCTATCTATCTATCTATCTATCTATCTCACTCTATTCATATCTATCTATCTATCTATCTATCTATCTATCTATCTAGAAAAGGAAATCTTGTTAGATTTATCTATCAAAGATCTTTTAGATCTATCTATCTATCTATCTATCTATCTATCTATCTATCTATCTATCTCACTCTATTCATATCTATCTATCTATCTATCTATCTATCTATCTATCTATCTATCTATCCCACTCTATTCATATCTATCTATCTATCTATCTATCTATCTATCTATCTATCTATCTATCTATCTATCTATCTAAGGCGATCTGTTAGATCTATCCATCTATACATCCACGAAAGTTATATTTAAGCAGCAGTAAGAATTCATTGAAACATATTTTGTTAAATTCAAAATGTATTCCTCGATAGAACTATATTTCAATTTCCTTCTTCATACTTGAGCAGATTGTTCAGCATCCCATGTATTATCAGAAGACCGATATTATATAATACTTCAGCAGTTTTTTTTTCTTTGTTCCTAACGAACTTTGTTTCTTTATACTTTGCTCAGATTTTTGAAGGCAACTTTCGATACACTTAAGGCGCCTTCGGATTTCGGTGTCACATTTTTTCGGTCTTTGTTAAAACACTTCCCAGATATTCATGTGTTCCTGCTATTTACCTTGAGCTCATTGGTAATATCCAAAGTAGAATCCGCAATATTATATGCCCTGATCTGGCAACTAGACTTCAGTTACTTTCCTACTGTCGTAAGTTTACTCCCCGCTACTGTGGTTATTCTATAAATACTTTCATGTTAATTGTTCGGATGAGTTCTATGGTACCTAGGCTTCATGAATTTCAGCACCTTAATGGACTCGCGTCGAGATACCATTCACTGACAGTTGAGATGGCAATATAAAGCCTTAAGTTCTATGCTAGCTGTTTCTTTTCTCTTATTTCTTACTAGCAGCATGGCCCGGCATTGCCCGTGCTTGATTCAAAAATAGTACGGCTAATACAGCAATCGCTATCACTTGACTTCAAATATTTTTGCCCTTCCTTGCCTTTAGAGGAGTGCCCTTTGCCGTGCTGATGTTGTTACATGCCTTACTTCTTGCCTATATCACACTGCCAACTTTTTCTAAGCTCTATAGTAAGCATTAAATCTGTTAAGAAAAAAGAACTAAACAAAATAAACACAATACGATTATCTTTAACAAACCGGAAAAAACATTTTTAAGGGTTGACCGATTGTCGATTTGCACTCTGTTTGGGGGGGGGTGCTCAGAGTTGAAACTTCACATGATGACTCCCAATGGCCTCTTCATAAATCCGCTCGGTTTTCGCTAAAAACCGACATGCGGTTCAGACGCAATCTGGATGTATCGGTTTTGGGGTGTTATCGATTTTCCGCGCTGTTTAGGGGTCCGTGGTCATGAAACTTCTGGACAACACTTCTAATGGTAGACTCTAAGAGTGTGTCAAATTTGGTTGAAATACGATCATTCCTTCTGTAAGTAGACTTTTTTCGATTATCGATTTTTTCGATTATCGATTTTTTCAGAACCTGATTCCGAACTCAAAAATCGGGCTCCGTCATGTCCTTACGGCAGCCATTTGCAAACTTGTGTTGAAAACCGCATTGAAATCGGGTGAGAAATGCGGCCTGGGCGAGGTAACAACGCCGACGACAGACACACAGACAGACAACATGAGAAATATAGGTAGTAGATTCGTGATATTCCCTTCCAGCTTCATGCTTTCCGGCCAACTTTAATCTGCAAAAATTTAAATGAAATATCAAACGCGATCTACTGTCCTCCTGATTACTTTTTTTTCTCTTCCCGCTCATTATTAATGTTTTTGTTCCTAATTCTTCTACATCCAGTGACTTTTTGTGTCTTGTGGTTTTACTGCCTTGCATAGGGCGAAAATGATTTAAAAAAATTAATTTCCGTCTGATTTTTTTTTTTTTATCTCCAATTCGTAATTCAGATCTCAGACTTTTACTTTGGTAACAACCATCTATTCTGTAGGTGGTGACTAATAATTGAAAAAAAAAAAAAAAGAAAGAAAAATCGCTTTTTGCAAATAACGACAGAAACACCTTCCTTCAAAACGTCACTTTTTATGGATTCAGATCAAATTGCATCGCTGATTTGATTATCACTTCCGCTTAGGTGGATTTGAAGGTTGTGTGGACGCCAAACCAACATTCAAGGGAAGAGGAATTTATTTCTTTTGCTCCGACTAGCAAATGTCAAATGAAATCACTTTTCCAAGGCCATTTATTCTCTTCGAGACAGAAATATATAAATATTAAATATCATGATATCTGAAAAAAAAAGTGATTAAGTCAGGTTTAAGAAAATAAAAAGAAAATACTGTAGAGTTAGAATTTGACATAAAAAAATGCCAGCATATAGCGAAGGATATAAAAAAAACTGCAAATATAGAAAAGCAATAACAAATGTTATTGTTGATTAGAAATAGAACCGGCGGGGTTAATTAGAGTTTTAGACACTAAATTAAACCCCTATATCTTCATGAAGATATACGCTTTACCTGTTAACTTTTTTCTTTAGTGTTCGTCCTTTTCTTTCTGTACAAATTTAAACGTCTTCTTTCAGGACGTAGCTGATCATGGCTCTCCACCACCTCCCTATATCCTTTCAGCTCTCAACAAGCCCCTTCTCTCTGCTTTCTCTCCTAGATCACGTTCTGTCATCCACTTAAGCCCGCTAGGTATATAAAGAGCTGCTTTCTCTTGTCTGTCTTTCCCTCTATTCGACCCGTGAGTATCAGATTCTCAAAGACGTCTTTCCTCATTATGTGTCCCGGTAACTTCAGCTGCCTCTTCCTGATGTTAAGTATAATCCTCCTCCTGGTTTGTATCCTCTCTAAGGCCTCTTCGTTGCCCACACGCTCGGCTCATGATATCCTTAGCATCCTTCTATAGAACCACATCTCCGTCGCCTCGAGTCTCTTTTTCATCTTTGAGGAAATCGTCCAACATTCGCTGCCGTAAAGAAGGACAGATGTCACGTAACAGTTCAGTATTCTTTTGTTCGTTACCAAAGAAATCTTCTTGTCTCTTAATACTCTACCCAGCTTTTGGAATGCGTCCTTGGTCACCCCTATACGTCTACGGATCTCAGTGTCACATTTTACGTCCTCTGTCAGCAGTTTTTTCTTTGTTCCTAACGAACTTTGTTTCTTTATACTTTGCTCAGATTTTTGGAGGCAACTTTCGATACACTTAAGGCGCCTTCGGATTTCGGTGTCACATTTTTTTCGGTCTTTGTTAAAACACTTCCCAGATATTCCTGTGTTCCTGGTATTTACGTTGAGCTCATTGATAATATCCAAAGTAGAATCCGCAATATTATATGCCCTGATCTGGCAACTAGACTTCAGTTACTTTATCACTGCTGTTTTTCAGCTGTACATTTTTCTTCCAGTTGAAAATTTTGGTCTTGGAAATTAAATTTTTTCTCTGCAATCAAATGTAATTTTTTATGGTTTATCGAGATAAGCCATAAAAATATTGTTGTGGTACGATCCACCTAATTTACATAGTGGAGTACCGACCATATAAATATGGGTTGGTACCGGGAAGACGGGGGAAGTAACAAGAGATCCAATCCAGAGACTCTGCCCGACTGCGATTAAGTCAACCCATTCTACAGGAACAGTCTTCCCAAGAATATGCCAAAACTAACTGTAAATATTGTGTACCTTTTACTTGTTTCAATACATTTTGTTTACGTACATTTTGTGTTGTATTATTATTATTCCATGCTTATCCAAGCTTCAACAAATATCTTCTCAGATATTTAAACTACCGAGTCTGCTTGATTTTAGTGTTCCTGACCTGCAAATCGCATTTTGGGTTCATTCTTTTACTGATGGCCACGTATTCTGTTTTCTTGTAGTTTATGGTTAGTTCCATCTTCATATTCTATCTTCTGTAGGAGATTTTGCAATTTCTTTTCCGTGTCTGCTATCAGTACTGTGTCATCTGTGTATCTTTTATTGTTACGATTGTAGCCACCAATGCTAAATCCCTGTAAGGTTTCCAATTTAACATATTTAGGTGAATGTACACTAAAATGGATGCTAAAGAGTCAAACCTAGATTAGAGAAACAAGGGGGAAGAATTTCAGTGTTAATATCCTATTCACGTAGATTTAGAGAAAAAAGGTTCGTTGTTTATAAAATTATTTATTTATTATTTTTATATTTTTCAATATTATCAATATTAACTTTTAATAATCAAATTAAATTATTAAATAAGAAGAATTAAGTAATGGGTCGATGCCGAGATATTAACAAATATATACTTTTTTTTACTTTAAGTATAATATAACATAAATCTATTAAAATATTAATTAAAAATATTAATTAATAATATAAATACAACATAAAATCTTAAAATTATTAATACAAATGAACAAATATTACAATTTAATTAATTAATAACATAACAGAGGATGACATCTAGATAAACCATAAAAAATGTACATTTAATTTCAGAGAAAAAAAATTATTTCGAAGAACAATATTTACAACGGGAAGAAAAATGTCCAGCTGAAAAAAAATGAAAGACGTAAACAAAAGCAAAATTTAATGAACATCACTGTGTTAAAAGAATGATAACTTCATGAATAAGCACTTGTACAAAACGGAGGAAAAGAGCGGGAAAAAACTAGAAAATATTTAAAACCAGAACCCACTGAAGACTGGAAATTTTACCAAGAAACTTCGATGTCAGGATAAAATTGATAATTAAAATTTAAGTAATCTTTCATATAATATTACACACACACACACACACACACACACACACACACACACACACACAGATATATATATATACATATACACATATATATATACATATATATATAGATATATATATGCACGTATATACATATATATACATATATATATGCATGTATATACATATATATACATATATATATATACATATATATACATATATATATACATATATATATGCATATATATATATATACATATGCATATATATATATGTATATATATACATATATATATACATATATATATATATATATATACATATATATACATATATATATATATATATATACATATATATATATATATATACATACATATATACATATATATATACATACATATATACATACATATATACATATATATATACATATATATACATATATATATATATATATATATGCATATATACATATACATATGCATATATATATATATATATATATATATATATATATATATATATATATAT